CTTTTTGAGGACAATATTGTGAATCCACCTTTGTTTGATCCACCTACTAAGGAAAAAATAACCTACAAGTATTCACAAGTTAGGACCTTCTACATTTTTTTTTCTATTTTTCCATGTGGTAAAAGAAAAAAAAAACTTGCGAGAGAAATCCAGATAGCATACAACTATATCTGACGGAGGAATATTCAGCCACTGTTGAATCATCTGCATGACAGCAAAATTATATGCATTTTTGCCCCACCCCAAAAATTTTCTCAGACACTTAAACCTGAAGATGATGAGCACTTACTGAAGCCCAATGCAAACGCAAAGAAGATGGTGCAAGTATAAGAACAGGCCAAGAGTCACGAATGCATGCAGCAACAGCAATAGCCTGCCAGATCATAAGGATTCAATATGCAGCCTCAAACCAAAAAATAAAATGAAATCCATAAAGCAGTAAACTAGTTTCTATTTGGTAAAATTTCAAGAATGATGACGCAACATGATCTTTAGCAAAGTTGATTCTAGTTTTTATAATCAGAACATAAATTTCTAGTATTGAGCATCATAATCCTAGCAATAAAGTACAAATCATGCTACATCAAAATATATCCTTGATAAAACTCCCTATTATAGGTTGTCTAATCCAGAGAAAAAGATAAAGAGATGGAAGCATTGTGACAGAGTATTCCTTAACTTGAAGAAGACAATTACATCAAAAAGCAACAATAGAAGATGAGTCATTGAATTCCAAAAGAAAAAGGTATAGATTCACGGCTGGTGGAAAGGATGCAAAACAACTACCCCATAAAAGTTAAAAATTTGTCTATTTTGCTTTTCAAAAGAAAAGATTCCAATGCCTTGCCATGAATGAATTTGCTAGTTATCAACATATTGACCATCTGAAAGATCATAATACATAGAACACTTATTATGGTTTCTCTTCCAGGGAGAAAATGCATCTTGATTATAAACATTGTTTGTACATAAAGCATAAATTACAGAAAAAGCTGACTTTGAACCATATACATACTGCTGTCAACAGGTATAAGCAACTCAACAGTGTCCATAAGCTAGACCCCAAAAAAAAAAACTTGGAGAATGCTTGCAGATTATTAGGCCTTTATTTCTGATGCGCTATTATTAAGAGTTGGACACTTTATAGCTACATAATTTATATAAAGGTATTGAAAGAACAGATCATTTCATATTAAAAAAAAAAAAAAACTTCAATACTGTTTGCCTGTAAAGTCTTTCCCAGTCCCATTTCGTCAGCTAGAAGTGCACGCCCTCCATGTTGCAATACAAACCTGAGACAAGGAATAACATATAATAAAAACATCATATACTTAAGATCAAAGAATGAGAAGGTAAAAGTTTTCATTTTCTTAAAAGAGACAGGAATTGATTACATCACAAAGCTACACTCTATTGGAAAAAACCCCCATGGTTATTGCATACCTAACACCATCTCGCTGAAATGGTAGAAGCTTTGATTCAATATAGCTAGGAATCCTGTCATACCACTCTTGGGGGAAAAAAAGCTAAGAAATAAGGGAAAAAAATACAAACTTTGAAATTGTATAAAAGTGAACACTAATAGAAAACTCAAATTTATGCAACAAGTGAAGAGTACTATTATATCAGGGGAAGCTGAAAAGGAAACATTCTTACACACATAGCACAAACTAAACTATAGACGCCAATTTTACCTCGAAGATCTGGAAGTGCAGAGGCAGCAGCAATAGCCCGCTGCACCAAGGGATGTAAATTCTCTACCTTGATAACATCACAACAAATAGTAAGCCATATTAAAGTCAAACTCTGCAATTTAGCAAAAAGATAGTGTATTGTTAAAGTGAGGAAAACAAAGTTGCAATAGTTATAACCTCAACTTTAAAACCAGATACTTCACAGAGAACTTTTTCTGCCGATGACAAAGAAGATAGCGGGAACATCCATAATCTGCAGTTTCAACAGTATCAGATCAGGCTACGGCTAAGGCTGACTTAACATGAAAGTTGCAGAAAATTTGCCAACCACAGAGTCATAATTCTCAGGAAAAAAACAATAAAGAGGGTAAAAAACATAAGCAGATGTGAATTGAGAGTCAGTGCAGCAACCTTTCTTTTGCATTCCAAGTGGCTTTAGGGATTTTACGGAAAGCATCAACTAACACCTAAATAAAGATTAAAGCATAGAGTATAAGTGCATAAGTAAAAGCAGTGTCACAAGAAAGAAACTGATGCACATAAACATTAAACCTGTTTATAGGAAAATTTAGCGGCAATGTTTCCAGTAGCGTGGAGGATAAATTTGACAGAGAGCTTTGGTAGTTGTTCCTTGGAGCATTGATCTGCTGCTGGGCAGAAATTGGTACAAGGCAATGTAGGCTTTATAATTCATAAGTAACGAGTACATAAAAAATGCAACTGACCAGGCTTTGTTTTTGGCGCAATTGATGAAGGCAATGCTCCGGATGAAGCTTCAGCCTGAATCATAAATGAAAAGAAAAAAAAAACAATTAAAACCCACAAAATGAAAAGAAAAAGAGAATCAAAACCCAGAAAATGCCAAAAAGAGAAAGGAAAAAGCAACCGCCTTTGCAGAAGGGGAATGGGTGATGGGTTTTTGATTGGAAGAAGAAGAATAAGAGGAATGGCTGCGCTGCTGAGAGATCTTCTGGAGAGCGTCTCTTTCAAGATAATCCAATTCTTCAGCGCTTAACTCCCAGTCATCCAATTCCATTTTTCAAACGAATTTTGAATTTTTGGAGCTTCAGCCTTCGCCCTTTGCTTTGGCCTTTTAGTTTGGCGCCCTGTATCTCTACTAGTAACTATTCCCCTTTTTTTTTTGGTGCCGTACAAACAAGGGTGAGTACTGAGAAGGAAATGGAAAAACTTCTGGACTTTTTAATTCCTTAATATGCAACTGCACAGTAAAATAATATACTTTATTTTATATAATTTAATATAATCTGATATACATAATGATACAAATTATTTAAATATTTTTAAAGCAATTCCAATTGAAAATTTGAAAGTTTAGACCTCACAATCTCAAATCAAAAAAGATTATATTGTTATAAAAGATTTTATACTAAAAAAAAATGAAATTTAAGAATTATATAAACAAAATATAAATTATTTAAAAACATATAAGAGGATTCCTTCTATTATATTTGAAGGATTGAATTAAGCATTTTGAAAACGTTGAGATTCAATTTGGAAGTAGGGATTGGGAAAGGAAAAGGGAGAGGAGATAGAAGAGTGAGCTAAGAGGCTGAGGGAGAGGGATATGCTTTGTGGAAACAGCTAATAAGTCCCTGCACTATGACAAAAGTGTATTTTTAGTTTTTTATAATTAACTTTTATTTCAACAGAGGGTGACACATAGATCTGCCCAATCCAGTTTGGTTTACTTTTTTTTTTTGTCGAGTTTTGATATAACATTTCAAACCATTTCAAATTGCAAATGAATTTGATTCAGGTTATTGATTTTATCCAAATTATTGAGTTAAGTTTCAATCAACTTTTACAAAATAACATTTATTACCTAAATTTAATTAAATAAAAATAAAAAAATTAATTAAATATAATAAAAAATAAGAATTTATTCAAATTTTCATGATTTTTTTTGAAATTATGTTTTTTTAATAAAATTATTTCTTTATTTTATCATTAATTCTATATGATTAAAATTTTAAAATAAATTTTAATTTTTATATTAAAATGATTGTAATAAAAACTCTAACTTTAATTGTAATCTATTTAGAAATGTTTTCTTTTGTAAATAAATAAATTTAGTAGAGGAGAAATTTCTTATATTATTTAAAATTGAATTTGTAGTCACATTTATGGCAAATTCTTATATTTGAGCTTCTTGTAAGCTTAATGAATAATGACCATCCGATTTGTAAGATGAAATTGCAGTCCAATGTTAAAACCGATTTTAAGGAAAAAGATAAATTTAAAAAAATTAGAGATTGTAGGAGAGATAAAGACTCTATGAGAGAGGGAGAGAATTTTTTTAAAATTTTTTTTGTTGTGGAAAATTAGAGAGTCCAGAGGAGAGAGGACTCTCTCGACGGAGTTATTTCTCGATGGAGAGATTTTTTTTAATTTTTTTTGGGGGTTTAGTGAACAAGTATTTAATAATTTATAAATTTTGCAAAAATTAAATATTTAAATTTATATTTTCCAATTAAAAGTATTTAAAGATTTATAAATTTTAATTTATGAATAAATAATAATAAAAATAAAAATAATTAATAAAAGTTAACAATTAAAAAATATTAACGTAAATTTATAAAAATTAACATAAAAAATCATAAAAGTGAAACAAGGATTATTAAAATATTAACAAAAATATGTAAAAATTACTGTAACAAATCAATTAAATCAAAATGAATATAATTTTTGTGAAAATTAGACATTTAAATTTATATTTTCAAGTTAAAAATATTTAATGATTTACAAATTTTAATTTATAAATGAATAATAATAAAAATAAAAATAATTATAGTAAAAATTAACAATTGAAAAATCTTAACATAAATTTATAAAATTGACATAAAAAATAAATATTAATAAAATATTAACATAAATATATAAAAATTATCGTCACTGATTTTTATTATTTTTTTAAAATTATATTAATTGACTTTCAGTAAAGTTATATAGCAATCTTTTGATCCCAAGCATCTTGTTTTTTTTTTTTTTTTTAAAGACATAAATACGTTATTTTCAACAAACATTTTGAAGTCATTCCTAGCTCCGACAGAAGATTGACACACCAATCATGAACAAATTCTAAGTGTGCTTACAAAGGAATTTGAATATTCATTTCAAGTTGTGCCCGCACATACTCGCACATGCATTTGATTTTGCCACTGAAAGGTTGTGATTTTGTTCTTGGTTCAACAAACACCACAACCACCAGGATGTAAAATATAGTTCAATCTCCTCCACCGAGCCTCCTGTCACAGTATTCCATGATGCTATGTCTAAGTCCAGCCATTTCTTCCTACTTTATTCCACATAGGGATGTCCCAGAATGCAATCATATCAGAGTATCAGCGTTCAACCATCTTTGCTTTCATTCATTATACCCCATTCATCTTGCAAATAATCTCAAGAAGGAAAAACAAAAGGAGGTAAAAGAATGCATACTGTGTCCACTCTAATAATTTACAGAGGAACGTGAATGGGAATTCGTCAGTAGACATTCTTCACTGTGTGGTCACACTCTTTGCGAGATTCCGAGGCTGGTCAACGTTGTATCCCCTTAGAACAGTGAGATGATATGCCAGTAACTGCACCCAAAAAGCAAATTAAAGCTTATGGTTCATTAGCTTAACAGAGTCACAAATTTTTGTAACAATGTCTTGAGACAGAGAAGTTTGGTAAAAACTATAACCAAATAAAAGCCCAGAAAGTTGAAGAAGAATTTTGGATTAGCATCTCTCATCCACGTTCCTATCATGTGGATAAAACTTTGCAATGAACTCCAAGTATGTGGCATATAGAGCATGTAGACATATTAAAACTTGTGCTGAGGACTGAGTCATCTATGCAAGGCATTCAGCATTTTATATTTGCAATAGCTAGGACACATGCCATTGAGCAATCATATAATATTTATCAAAGCATAAGGAATGAATTTGCCTTGTCCCTTACAGAATGCATAATGCCCATTTTTCAAGGATGACATTACACATAGAATCTGTTAAATTGCTTGTCTTAGGTAAGGAGATCTAAATTCTATTCTTTTGTGGCATAAGTGAAAGTCTCTATTTCACAATAAAAGGCAAACCGAAATAAATATATGAGAACAATACTTGCAATGGAACTACATTAACCACAGGTTGAAGACAATCCTCAACGTAGGGAACTTCAATTACTCGACAGGCTCCTCCAGAACACACTGATGCAGCATCCCCTCCTGAACACATTACTATTACACGACCTTTGCGGGCATGAAGTTGCTGAATAACTGACTGCTGCTTGCTGTTAGCAATTTGAAGATTTCAGTGCCAAACAATGGAAAGTAATAAAATAAAAGAATTTCCCCCAAACTACAACCAAACCAACCTGAAGCAAGCATCACGGGTAGCAATCACAACTATTGGAAGATTTTCATCAACTAATGCCAAGGGACCATGTTTCATTTCACCAGCAAGTACCCCCTCACTATGCATAACAGGCACTTCCTTCACTTTTAAAGCACCTTCCAAAGCAGTTGCATAGTTGTATCCTCTCCCAAAGACAAGAAGTGACTGCTCAGCAATCAATAACTTTGCAAGATCCTTCATTTCCTGGTCAAGCTTCAACACCTCCCTGATTTTATCTGTAAAAGTGGATCACAACACAGAAAATTAGTTCAGCTACAAAAACAAAATACAAAGGGGAAAATCTTTTAAAATAAACAACAAAAGGAAAATAAATAAGAGGGGGCAACAATTGAGACTCACTTGGCAGGTCAAATAGACCATCTATTATAGCCTCCCTTCTCTCTTGATTGGAAATTGTGTCACCTCCAATTGCCAGAGCTAAAATGGCCATCACTACTATTTGACTTGTATATGCCTATTAATAACAGCAGAAAATTTTTTACTCATAAAACAAAATTAAGTAAAGATGTATTGATCAATGCACTTACCTTTGTACTTGCAACACCAATCTCACATCCAGCATTTATATGAACCCCACAGTGTGTATTCCGTGCTATTGCACTACCAACAGTATTTGTTATGCCAACACATAATGCACCATTTTCCAGAGCATATTCTAGGGCATGCAATGTATCAGCTGTTTCACCAGATTGACTGACAAAAACTGCTGTATCCTCTCTGTATATAGGACCTTGCCGATCCAATAGATCACTAGCAATTTCCATTGTAACAGGCACCCCTATTTTCCACATAAATAAACCAAATAAGTTAAAAATGAACATAACAAATTTTAAGAAGTGCACAAATTTTGTTTCCAGACAAATGGCACTTACCAGAGAGTTCTTCCAAGATGGGTCTAGCAGCAAGAGCAGCATTGTAACTTGTACCGCAACCAATAAACACAATCCTTCGGCTATGCCTAATTGTTTTAAGGTGATCCTTCAATCCACCCAAAAGAACAGTCTTAGCTTTACAGGAACCTCCACGTATAAGCCTCCCTCTCATTGTAGTTGTCAAAGATTCTGGCTGTTCATGAATTTCTTTCTGCATATAATGCTCATATTTTCCCTTATTTATTTGCTCAACCTCCATCTCAAGAATAGATAATGCACGTTGCACTGATGCAGGCCTAGAAAGACTACCACCATTTCTTCCTTTTTCATTATCAAATTTTAGGATTGATACACCCCCTTCCTGAAGAAACCAGTTAATTCGTGAAAAAAATGCATCCAAGCAACATGAAGGAAAGGAAAAAAGATTTGATCGACCATTATTAAAAGACTAATGAATGCAGACGGTAAAGAGGTAGATATATCATGAGTTGACGATGATTCTATGCACCATGAGCAAGAGTGAGCTCAAGAATTACATGGTTTAATTTTTCAAGACAGTGCTAGTAACGGTATGATTGCGAGTTAGGGAAGATATTAGCAAAACAGAGGGGGAAAAGAGCCACAAAATGCATGTTTACTCCAGAAAAATGCGGTGTAAACATACTTAAATATTCCTGTTCCAGGGAATAAAATGAAATCAAAGTAAAAAGTCATTCCATGATATCAATTTCATTCTTAAAGATGTTATTGAGACATCACTAGAAAGAAGACTAGACAGTCTGTCATTCTTTGCATTCTAAAATTGGCAATCTACAAGGGCTGCAAAAGATTGCATTGAGACTGGTCTTTTAACTCATAACCCTGGGAATGACAACCATCCAACCATAACAGCATAATGTTGCAATTATCAATACCAAATGCCACCACTTTGTCAGCAAACCAGCTGCTCAAATGGTTTCCAAAACATCCAAAAGCAAAAGAACCCCACAAGGGAAAGAAAATTAGTTAGGACATCATTATATAACCTTATTGACAGCTAGGTTAATCATCTATGAGACAGAATGATAATTGGCAGGAGGATCTAAGGAGCTCAAAGCTACATGTCATTGACTCACTGGAAATATCTTAATCTGGATGTTTTTTTGCCTTTCTATTTCTAACGAGTATCAGTCAGCTCAATGTCAAAACCAAAACGAAATCATAACATAACATTCCTATTAAGATTACTCATAAGAAAGCCTCCTAGTGATTTGGTTGGTCTTGAACCAACACAATTTTAAAACTTTGAACCAACACAATTGTCAGAGTTGCTTTAGTGTAAATACTTTATTCCATTGGAAACTCCAATGTGCTTATTAAGTTTAAAAGAAAAAGAAAAACATAAAAAATGTCTCCTAAAATAGGTTCACAACCATATTCTATATATCTTGGATTTTAATAAGCATCACAAGAAGCTTATACGGTAAAATTATCCGTCAGATTCTACATAGCATTTAATTCTAGGAAGGTCTACATGTCATATAAAAAAGAAAGGATAGAAAGAGATGAAAAAGGAGGGATAAAATGACAACAGAAAAACAAGATGCACATAGAAAATAATGGTAGAGTAGAACCAGAAGCGTTTTTAAGACATATATCGAGTAGAGAAAGACAACAAGAACAAAGGATGACTTGCAAAATTATCCAACTGATAAATATGCACCTAAAGATGAACTACTTCCCCATCCTCGATAACCAGAACTTTCTTTGTGTGTTCGATAAGAGCATTCGCATCACTTGATAGAAAAAGTTCCTTAGGATTGCCATTCTTTGACAGAAATTTAGCATCATGAAATGCCGATGCATTGCACACACCTTCATTTAATTCCTGAGACAAAGCAATTTCTTAAATGACAAAAAAAAAAAACAAAAACAAAGCACCAACCTGACAGATATAAAATAATATGTAACAAAAAGACACAAGAAATTTCATGCACTGAATCTGTAACCTAGTCTGATTTAAAAATTATAACCCAGTAAAAACAACAACAGTAAATGGCCAAACGAGCCAGAACAGACTTTACAAAAACTTCCACTGCAACAAGATTTTGTGTGTTTTGTCTTCGACAGTTTTTACTTAATTAGAGAAGGGTGCAGAGCAGAGATTGCACTGTATAAGCAGACACCTCTTGTTCTTGTCAACCAACTCTTTATCAAGGATGATAGAATTCCAAATCTATTTACGACATTATTAGCTTTTTTACATGTATTTGATAGAGAAAAAGTCAAAAACAATTATACTTCCACATGTTGCTTTTACCAACTTGTTGTGCATTGACACATAAAATCTGTTCCTGCAGTCAGTAAGGTATGATCGCATTGACAAATAAAATCTGTTCCTACAGTCAGAAAGTCGGATCGGACGACTATCAATAGCTATAGCATAAAATCTATTCTGTCAAACTTCCTTTTAGATGGAACATTCTATTGGTCTAGCCCAAAGATGAAGATACCTGCTATCTTAAGTGCTTGAACACGCATTATTCGAAAGGAATAATGCTTAAAAAAGCATCTAAACTATTTAAGAATATTCAAGTAAGTTTTTATTTTTTTATTGTGTTCAATTAAACCTCTTTATTTTTATATTAGATCAAATAAATCTTTATTATTAATGATTAATTAATTGTATTTAGTAAAAATACCACTTGTCATTTTATATCTACATGGCACTGATATGACAATGATGTAGAGGGTAAAAAATTACCACGTGATCATATTATCATAAAAATTAATATATTATGTCATCATCAATTATGATACGCCAGCATGACATATTATAATCAATTATGATATTTTAACATACCATGTTAGCGTCATATGACATAGAATAACAAATGATATTTCACTAAGTCAACTATTAATTATAAAAGACTTATTTGATTCAAAATAAAAAATATAAAAACTTATTTGACTTAAAATAAAAGTATAAGAACTTATTTAAATTTTTTTGAATAGTTTAGGGGTTTTGTTTGTATATTATATCTATTCGTAAAAATGACCGTTCTATATTCAAATTTGGTCTTTTCTCTGTTTTCTTTTGCGAGATCATAAAATTCTACTGAAGAGTAAGGGCAATTTACATGAGTGATAAGACAGCAATGCCCTATGAAACTAATTGTTGGGCAACTAAAAAGCAAAATATGTTAAGAATGAGCATGGCAGATATGTGTATGCTGTGACACATGTATGGACACACAATGAACTATAGAATTAGGAAAAAATGCATGCAGGAAAATGTGGGGGTTGCATCAATTGAGCAAAAAAAATGAGAAACTTGTTTGAGATAGTCTGGATATGTAAAGAGGAAACCTACATGTGCCCGTAAGCAAAGATATGACTTAACGAGAGAAACATCAATTGCCAGGTTGAATAGGGATTACTCCAAATTTTTGTCCTGGAAAAACTTGCGAAAAGGATTTTTTTTTTCTTTTGAAGACGTGGAAGAAGATAATTCTCACATCTTAAATACATTTAAAGATAAAAATGGTTTCGTTTTCTTTATACATTAAAACCATATCTTAAAAATGGGAATTTTAAATTTAAGATTTAAACCCACAAAAGTTCACTGGGAAAAGAAATGGGGTGAATTATTTCCCTCAAGAGGGACAAAAAGAATAAAATATGAAGGGTTGGGGAAGCCAATTCAAAAGTACATCACCAATTGATTATTCACAATTCTTCAAAGAAGTCAATTTGTATAATTTGCATAACAAATAAAAGCAGTATTCTGACAGAATTTCCATATTTCTTTATCCCGAGATTGCATTAGCAGCTATTAAAATCAATCTTTAAGTGTTCACATGATGGAGAGAAAGAGAACAAACACATCATATAGATATCAATAATCTTGCATGAACAAACATGAGCAATGTAACCCCTGTCTAAAATAACACAATATCACTGTATCAATATTTAAAAGTTTCTAAAACAGAAAAGGAAACCAACAAATAAGTACCACAAGTATTCTCAAGTTTTCTTTTTCTTTTCTTTTTGGTTATCAGAAAAGAATTTAAGTAGAGGTCTACTTGGTGGCCCAAGCTATAGAATCAATAAGCCTAACTCAATCAACCACGACCAGAAAATTATTGGCCCATTCCAGTTTTGGGTGTCAACAGATTAAGAAATATTCAAGCAAGAAAAGCTCATATCTTATTTTCATTACTTCAATTGATCTCAATTTCTCCTTTGGTTGTTCCTTTTACCGGCTAAGAAGAGAATTTGGGTGTAAAAACAAATAACAATATGAAAAAAATCAAACTTAAAATTGAAATTTAGTGGATAATAAATAAAAGATGATAAATAATTATTTATGTTAAATAGTCATTTATTTATCTTTTATTATTTTACCTTGTACAATTTATGTATACTTTACAATAACTTCATAAAAATATATGATAATTTATTCATCATAATAAATATATGATATTAAAAATATATTAAAAAATAATATTATATAAAAATTAATAATAAAAAATATAAATATATTAAACTTATATTTTAATAAATATGAATAATTTTAAAATTTAACATTACATTTCTAACAAAATATTTGTAAATTAAGCGTTACAATATCATTTTCTTTACATTTTAATAATTACTTTGCTTATATACCAAACAGTACATTGTTCTCTTTTTGCAATTACATTACTTATAACTATATTACCTATAATCATATTGTATTGTAAAATATCAAATGATATTTCAATACTTTTTTGAGTTCTAAAACAACAACATTTTACTATTTTTATTAAAAGTAAAAGTTTTTTTTTTGTGTTAATGCAAATTGATATGTCACATCATCAATAAAAATATCATATAATTGAAATTATTGACAAGTATTTAATACCATTATTAATCTTCCTTCAATGAATTATTAATAAAAATATAGAATTGAATTTATTAAAAATGGGGTAGTTTCATTTTTTTTATTGTTGATGCAAGTTCACCTCTTCCTCAATTGGGGTAAAATACAAAAAAACTCATTTAATATATTTTTAAAATATACTTTAACCTCTCTTATTTTTAAATGCATTGTCTCCTTTGACTATTCATTATCATTAGTTAAAATTTAACTTTAAAAAAATTCATTAGTCAAAAATTATTTACATATTAAAAAGTCATAATCACATTTGAGTAATTGAAAAATAAAAAAATACAAAGAATATCATAATCTAATTTAATTGAATAATGATGATTTAAAAAAAAAGACACACAATAATAAATAAAAGTAAAAGAAAGAAATAAATGATTTAAGATTATTTTATATTAACAATTCATAAAAAATTTATAATTTTGAAATGAAAAAGCAAAAATCTAAAAAAATTAAGTAATGATAATGTAATTAAATTAGATATAATTTTTTAATTGTTTTCCTTTTTTTATTTTCACCTTATTCTTTCTCTTCTTCTCGTTATTTTTTTGTTTGTTTCGAATAGCATAATTGTTTCTTTCTTTATCTCTCGCAATTTGATCTTTCCCTCTTTCGATCTCCACGCATTACTATGACTACAATTCAAAATTATTAGCACCAAGATATCCCCACCACATAGTGAATTTTCAACAACAATTACAAAAATTTAATAAATTTACAATATTTTGCCCAAAATAATAACTAAAATCTTATAAAATTTTACTTTAAAATGCTTTAATTTTAAAATTGATCTCACAAAAACTTGGTTGGAGTTAGATTTATCATCTATTGTTTATGAAGTTAAATCTACTCTCATGTGCTTCAAATATTCTATTCAGTTTATCATTTCATTAAAGAAGTGATTTTATTTTAAAACTTTTGTTAAATTTTGTCGCTATTGGGCTTTACATACAAAAACCCAAAAGGAAAAAGGAAGGTAGTGATTGATACTAGCCAGAAGTAAAAAATAAAGAGAGAAAACTGTAAAAAGAGAGCATTTAGAAGACAATTAAGTTCAAACTTGATAAGTTTTATGTTAGAAGGACTTCTGCATACATTAGCCAAAGAGATGATCACATTCCACAGCTCGCTGGACGAGAAGGATTGGATTTTGCTGCTAGACGTCAAGGTGCAAGTGAAGGATTGGCAGGTTTGTTTACTTCCACTATCTGGAAATGTTAGTTATGGTACACTTCCAACGTTTTAGTTACTTTCTCACTATTACTGTCCTTGTTAAATTTCATCATCACAGCATGATAGGAAAAATATAATGCTGTTTTCTGTTGTAATATTGTGCCTCAATGTTATTGTTCTCCTGCTGCAATCACTGGAGACTTCTAGAAATGGAGCAAGCTAATGACCAAGGCCATGAGCAGGAGGAACCCATTTTTCCTGTGATTTGAGTTTTCCTTTTGTTTTTGTGTATATCCTTGTGTCCCAAGCTTTGGTAGTTAACCTTGTTATAAACTTCACCTCCTCGCGTTCTTTTTCTTAATAAGTTATAACCTTGTTAACCTTTGTAACTTGTGTTTCAGTTGACTGCTTTTCTCCTGCTCTTCTTATATATTTATGCTTGCAGAGTATATGGAAGATTTAGCGAATTTAGAAAAGGAAAGGAAGATACGTCCAGTCCCAGATATTGATGCTTTCATGAAGGTCACCTGTGCATTTGTTCTTCAGTGTTTACTCCTTTCCTGATTTAACCGTCAGATTCTTATCAATTACACTGTCCACCTCTGCAGCTAGGGCGTTGGATTTCAAATCTTAATGTCCTTAGACAGATGAAGATTTTACTAATTTTCTTATAGTTTTATTATAATTGGAATATATACCAATTATTATTGATGGAATCCATGATACCTTGCATTTGTTCTAAGACGGCTTCATGGGAAGGTTTGACGTATAATGGTGAAATTTCCATTCTCTATAAGTTATTCTCACACCGCAAACATGTGCACGGTAGGAGGATGATTGGTTGAGGACAGTTAACTAATTGGTTAAGGGTTTTAATGCAATATAAATTAGTTATACAAAAATGAAATGCTTTATTGAGGCTTATCATTCATTTTGAACTTTAATTTAGAGAGTTTAAAGGTTGATTGATTTTTATGATCCAATCTCCATTCTGTGATACTTCCGTCAAATTGTAACAGTCATGACTATCCTTATGCAGGAGAGATGGTTGTTGGGCTGAGAAAAGCTCTATTCATGGATTAAATATCTACTGAACTTGATAGCTCTACCCACATTCCAAATTGCAGAATGTGTGCGAAATTTTGTTCATCTAATGGAAGGAACTGTACTCATGGCTCTTCCACAGCCTGTTCCTGAGACATTTGAGCTATTTGATGTTCTAGTGCTATTATCGGAAGGATATATGGTGTATCAGGGCCCTCGAGCATAAGTTTTGCAGATTTTCTTTATGAGGTATTTATTTTCCTCGCTGCTACTTCTACGGTTAGATCTTCTTTAGGTACTTGCCTAACTAGTTACAGTTTCCAGGTGACCTCTGACAAGGATCAAGCTCTCTAGAGTCAACACTTAGTGTTCCACAAAGTGAGGAAAACTATGCCTGCTAATCCTTCAAAGCCATACCTGTTCATTCCTGTTTCAGAAATGGCCAATACATTTAAAAATTTCAGATTTGGAACTCTCTAGAGTCGACACTTAGTGTTCCATGTGATAAATCCCGGAGTCATCCTCCAGCTTTGTCCGAAGAAAGATTCGCTGCATCAAAATGGGAACTTTTAAGAACGTGCTTTGCACGAGAAAACCTACTAATTAGCAGGCATAGTTTTCTTTGCATTTTCAAGACATGCCAGATATGCCTTGGCTTGCCACTTCTGCGATTGTTATGTATGTTTACCTCAGAATTTTACTTGACAATGTGTATACCAATATAACCATCTATGACTTGATAATATATGATGAACTGTTAGTCTGTTACTTCTGCTTTGTTCTTTTTGTTTTTGGATAAATGGGCATTTTATTTATCCAGGAAGCAGAGCAAATAACCTGCTACAAAAAATCCTTCTTCTTTGTTCATTCTGTAATAAAGAGTTAAGAATTGGCTGAGTATTTTCTAGGAGGTCTTTTATCCTGCATCTTTTCTCCATTTGTTGACTACTGTTACTCATGAACTTAGTACTATGATCTTTTATTATTTTTTCTTTTCAAGTTTTTATAACTGTATTTCACTTTTGAAATCTGTGTATTACACACGTTTGAGGTTGCATTTGTCGGATTTGTCACAGGCACAACCTTTTTAGGAACAAGACTACAACCGGCAGATGAGACTAATGGCAACCTCTACCCCTCTTGCCTTTTCTTTTGGGTAGTGCATAAGTTGTTTAATGGATTTTCCGAGCTACCCTTCTGATATTTCGATGATAGCTCCCAGAAAAGCCCAGGCAATTATTCCACCTGATGACTCAGAAAAAGATTCTGTTAGGAAGGAAGGTTAGTCATCTTTGATATATGTAACATCAATTTACTTTGAAACATCTAGGGCATCTGTGCCTCTTGTAAAGGAATCTGATCGTTCCTTCACAAATTTATCACTTATCTATGCAGTTGAAAGTGAGGAGTTGGAATCAGGTGTTCCATCTGGTCACTGCGACAGTAAAAGGAAGGGAATGATCCTGCCATTTCAGCCATTAGCAATGATTTTTCATTATGTCAATTACTTGATGTTGACATGCCCAAGGTATGTTTGTCTCGTGGTTTTGGGTTCTTGGAGTTTTGGATATCTTTAACTAACGTAAAACCTTCTTTTTCCATTTTCCTCTTTTCTTTTGGTTGAATATCTCAGGAAATGAGTGCACATGGCATACCTGAAAGGAGATTGCAGCTCGTGTCTAATGTTAGTGGAGTATTCTCACCAGGTGTTCTTACAGCATTAGTCGGGTCAAGTGGAGCAGGAAAGACTACCTTGATGGATGTGGTTGCGGGAAGGAAAACTAGGGGATACATTGAAGGGGATATTAAGATTAAGATATTAGGGTACCCAAAGGAACAGAAGACATCTGCCAGAGTTTCAGGATATGTTGAGCAAAATGACATACATTCTCCTCAAGTTACATTTGAGGAGTCTCTCTGGTTTTCCTCCAGTCTTCGCCTTCCGAAAGAAATTAGCAAAGTCCAGACACGTGTGACCTGATAACTCTCGGCACATTTATATTTGTTTTAATCTAGTTGCTTTCGCTGCATTTTTTATATAACTTTTCTGCACTTCCCTACAGGAGTTTGTTGAAGAAGTGATGCGTTTAGTCGAGGTTGATACACTAAGGAATGCTTTAGTTGGTTTACCAGGTAGCTGTCGCTTATCAGCAGAGCAGAGAAAACGTTTAACTATTGCAGTGGAGCTTGCTACAAATGCTTCCATTATTTTCACGGATGAGCCTACATTTGGACTTGATGCACGGACAGCGGCAATTGTGATGAAAAAGGTTCGTAATACTGTCGATACTGGAAGAACTGTGGGGTGCACTATTCACCAAACCTTTTTGAAGCATTTGATGAGGTGAGTCTGATTATAGTTAATTTTATTTTTCGGAGCTAATACAAGAGTTGTGCATCTGAATTTGCCTATTAATTTTCATATGCAGCTGCTGCTTCTGAAACGTGGAGGTCAGGTTGTATATGGAGGAAAGCTTGGACAAAACTCGCAGATTTTGATAGACTATTTCCCGGCGACCTTGCACTATCATTGTTATAATCAGACTGATCGCCTCATCAAATGCTTCCAAAATTTCAATACTGGGTTGGTGAATAGTGCACACCACAGTTCCTCCCGGTCTCTACAGTATTACGAACCGTTCTTATCACAATTGCCGCTGTCCGTGCATCAAGTCCAGGTGTAGGCTCATCCATGAAAATAATGGAACGATTTGCAGCAAGCTCCACTGCAATACTTAAGCGTTTTCTCTGCTTTGTTGATAAGCCACTGCTACCTGGTAAACCAACTAAAGCATTCCTTAATGTAACAGCCTCTTCTAAACGCATCACTTCTTCAACAAACTCCCGTAGGGAAGTGCAGAAGAATTATATCCAAAAAAGCAGTGAAAGCAACTAGGTTAGAACAAATATAATGTACAAAGAGTCTCTCTCTCCTACAAAAAAATATTAGCAAATACTTTGACTTTCCGGTCTTTTAAGAAAATTTGTAGCATTCTTTTAATATAAAAAATTTATAGTATTGATAAACTATAATTTTAAATGTTAAAAAGTAGAAAAAAGAACTCAGATAATATTATGAAACATAAACAATAAGAATGGTAGGTATTTAAAGAACAAAAATGGACATACTTGTTTTAAATGTCTTTTAAAAGAAAAAAGATGAACATTCAATTTAAAACACAAAGAATATCAATTCGGGCAAACTTGAATAACATGAGTTTAATCAACCTTAATCTAAATTTAAAAAGCCTCCTCCAACATGAGATTCATGGAAGCAAAATTTTTTATTTATTTTTCCAATTAATGTGGGTGAGTAGCTGGAAATACATAAAATTTTATGCATGATTTTTATTCTCATCTATTTTATTTTCTTTCAATTTTCCATCTTAATTCTCAACTTTGGTACCAAATATGATGTAAGTTGCAAAACAAGTTACCTTCACTTCAAATCATGCATTAAATTAAGTGACACAGTTCAAATCATTAAATTGGTATAAAAAAAAAATCGGTTGGGAGTACCTAAAGAAGCAATCTCCAGATAATATTTACATATATAATACTTAGAAAGACTGAAATAACTATTGCCTTGCAAATTGAAATTGAAAAGAATTTGATGATTATAGGCATCATTATAATATATATTGAAGTTCAAATTTTTATTTCCCTAAGAAAATATTCCTCCTGCAGGAACATAACCAAATTGCAGGAGTTGTAGTGGCATACAAACTCATACAAATTTATTTATTACTGGTTTTAGCCAGTGGTTATGTAGGGAAATACACTTCATGGGTAGTAAAAGAGGCTGATTATTACTGGGGCAGCTTGTTCAGTTTACAATAACTATAGTCCTTGAATTTCTTGGCCTTATATTTGGGAGGATTTTGTTCATCGACAAGCTGAGGAAGCGGCCCAACTACAAATTCCGCTGGCGGTTCCAAGAATACCGGCCATGACATCCTCGCTTTGTCCTTGTCCACCGTCGTCCTGTGCAGGACTGCCTTGTACTTTCCATTGCTTAGTATCTACAATATTTACGCAAATAAAATCAACAACAATTACATTATCTTGTACATTTAGGCTACATCCAAGACCGGCTCTTGAAAAAATCACCCAAGGACTTTGCATCTCAAATTTAAAGAGGTTTCATAATTTTATAATAATTATATTAAAAATATATAATAATTAAAATATTTACTTACTATTCCGTACTTAATAAATATCTATTTTCTATCCCTTTCACTTCCTTATTAATTCTTAACTATTTATCTTATTTTTCATTAAACATATGTAAAAGTTAAAGATAATAATAAAATGACATATTCTTTCACTTTTTTAATTATATGTTTAATAAATCTCAATTTTTTATTAGTACTACAATGTTATTGATTTTCAACTATTTTTCTTATTTAAAAATTTTTTTTCTTTTTTTAAAAAAATATAAAGAAAATGGATTTGCATCTACTATAATTTCTTTGGAAGAAGTTGCATCTAAAATGAACATAAATCTTAAATTTCGTGATACACCTATCATTCATAGAAAAAAAAGTTTGATCAGAATGTTGACAATAAAATAACAAGATATTAAAAAATCATTTAGAATTAGATCAAACAATTTTTTCACTCTAAAATAGATTTGAACAATTTAAGATATATGAAAGTATTTTTAATTTTCTATTTAGCTGTAAAAAGTTAAAGTCAATAGACGATAATAGTTTGAAAGAATATTACCTTAATTTTAAACGTTCCTTAAAATATAATAACTATTTTTGATGTTGATGGTTTGGATTTATTTTTAAAATTAAAAATTTTTAAAAAAATTATACAAATGAAAGATAACAGTCTAATCAACATTTTTAATTATATACGAAGATTCAATTCTTTTCCAAATGCATGTATACTTAATTGTATAAGAAGTCTCAATTATTTTCCAAAATGCATGTATACTTAAGTATATAAGACGTCTCAATTATTTTCCAAATACATATATTACTTTTAAAATAAGATTCAATTATTTTCCAAATGTATATATTGCTTTTAAAATAATATTAACAATTTCAATAAGTGTTACTTAAGGAGAAAGCAGTTTTTTCAAAACTAAAATTAAATAAAATCTTATTTAAGATCAACAATGTTTCAAGAAAAATTAAATAAATTGACTATATTATCAATTGAAAAAAATATTAAAAAAATTTAATTATAAAAATTTAATTAAAAATTTTACATCTTAAAAAGTTAGAAAAATAAAATTTTAATAATTTTTTTAATTTCAATAAAAAAATTCTCATTTAAATATTTCATTTTAGTCTTTTGAGGTTATTGAGCCGGTCCTGGGTACATCACCGTCCACGTCTTGGCTTGAAAGAAGATCCGTGGATGGTTTCTCTTTTTGGTAAATACTATCAAAATTCTTTGTTTCCCATCTGACTTTTCCATGCATATATATATATGCGTTCCGAAATTCAAACAGTAGACGTTTAAATCCAGTTGGAAGTAAGTTTTGGAATTAATTAATGCTAGTAATAAAGAAAATAGAGCAAATTAAAGCAGGAATAATTAAGGTAACCTCAATCTGGTCGCCAATGTGAATAATGAGGGCGCCAGGGATGTATTTGGCATCGATCCAGAGGCCATCCTTGAAGACTTGCAACCCAGGGACGTCGTTGGGCACAAGAACGGTTATGGCAGAAAGATCAGTGTGAGGAGCGACTCCCAGAGTTAGATCGGGACGAGGACATGTCGGATAGTAGTTTATCTTCATCAAATACTCCATCTCCTCACCTCCTGCTCCTTCTTTAATGGCATGGGGTGCAAGCCCTAGCCCTAGTGACAGGCATTTGAACAGCTTGTCCACTACCCTTCTCATGTACTCTGCATACTCCTCGTTCACCGCTCTGCAACAACTTAAATGAAGCTCGTTTCGTAACTCATACCATTTGGTAACCAAATTTACTTAAATCGAGCCCCCAATTAAGGCGTAAATGAAGCATGAAATAAGAAACAAAAGAAATATTTCCAAGAAACAAACATGCGACACGAAGCATGTATATTTCCTAGCTACTTTTATAGATCTGTACTTGAATTTTGCATGCATGCTTGATGCATAGTTATGAAAAGTTAATTATAAGTGGGGAGGAAGAACCAAACCTGTAAGAGGGGGGGTTCTGGGGCCAGAACTGGTAGTTGATGCGTGAAGGAGGCCATATCCTGTGGAAAAGGTAATCAGCCCAATTCTTCTTTCCTTGAAGATCTTTTCCAAGCTTGCTTCCATAACCTTCAATTGTCTGTGCACCACTTGGCTTAGCATACAGTTCTTTCTCTTCCTGTGGCAGATCAAAAAACTCCTTGCCAACTTGTTGTAACTTTTCAATGAGATCAAAGGGTATGCCATGGTTTACAACCTGGAATATCCCCCAATCCCTGCTAGCATTGGCGGTCAAACGGATAACTTTTTCCTGATTATGGTCATCGAGATCGATGACAGGGATTTCAGGGACCGGACCTTGAAATGTTGTGATTGCAGGTTGTTCCTCCTCTGGCCGAATAAACTCTGTTGGAATACTGTCTTTAGTTAGAGACGATAAAGCAATAGCTTGGACTCGCTCCACCTCCATATTTTTCCTACCCAAAACTCCTCCACTCTCTTTCTTTCCCTTCCTTAGAAAACTGCTTTGGTAGGTTGGCCCAACGTTGAGTGCATGACTGCCGTTTTATAGCGGTGAACTTGACTCCTAAGTTACATAAATTAATGCTTATATAAAAAAAAGTAACATACTTTAATAAAATCATATTCATAGCAGCATGAAAGAGGTTAAGGGCGAAGGACGTGCCCCGGAGCAAATGGAGAGAGAGGCCTAAATAGACGTGGTGTTTCGGTGTTCACTTGTTGGAGCTACCAACTACGTAAAGGACATGACACAGACACTACTGACATTGAAGTGCAGGTCCAGCCTATGCCCTATGGATTCGGTTTTGGGCCGCAACAAGTTACTTTTCGTCACCAACTTTTGCTAGCTTTGCTGGTCAGACTATGGTATATAAATTTCTCTTTTTTTTTTATTAAAAGGAAATAAAAATAATAGATTTATGACAAACTAACATTATGAAAATAAAATTTTCATAACATAATTTAATAAAATTGAAACATTGTCCCTAATAAGATTTTGAAAAGCATCAACAGAATATTGAAAAGGCATATTTATAAAACAATCAAATACATGATACATTTGAATAATATTGATTTGTCATTTTTTCTTTAAAAAGTCTTTAATAGTCCAAATCTAACAATTTTCAACTGAATATTTGAAAATTTCACATAGTGCATCTTACATTAAAAAATTTAAATTGATCTTGACAGAGAAATGAACCAAATTAATGATGGAGGTGGGCTAATATGATGGGCCTACAAAAATTCATAGATTCTCAAGCCACAAAAGTACAAGATTTAAGCAATAATTCTATACAAAATGCAGGAGATAAAAGATGGATCAAATAGGCTATAGAGCGTTGAGAGAGATTTCGAGTAAAAGCAGGAAAATTGAGAACAAACGAGAAGAGACAATTAATGAAGCTTGTTTTGCCTTCAATTCTTGCCTCTCCTAAAACTTGTTTGGTTTGATTTTTTTTAGTTTAAAAGTTATTATTGTTATGAATATTTTTGTAAATATCCATTAATATTATTTATATATAGATTTGATGTAAATTAGATTAGATTATAATTTAATCCATCTAATCCCTAAGTGCTATCTTCATCTTGTAAATTTAATCCAAATAAAGGGTTGTTAGCCTATAAATACGCCCCTTCACTTTATTTATAAATACATATTTGAATAAGATCTTCTTACTCCCTTTAAATATTTCTTTCTCTCTAAATACTTTCTCTTATATTTCTATTATCATAAAATATTTTATGATGATTTTAACCATAGCCAAGTTGATATTGCACATCAAGATACATTAAAAGAGGAATTAATTATATGATTGGTAATAGAAATATCCATTGTTGATTTTCTTGTCCTGAAAAAGGAATTGATTATTTGATTAGCAATAGAAATATCTAAGAATAAACTTAATAGTAATTGGTACATTTTAGTATGATTATATTATGAAGATACTTTAATATGTTTTCATTATATTTAAATGATATATTCTTATTATGTATTTTAATTATATATTTAATGTTATTTCATGTTAACTTGTAAATTTCTTATTGTATATATTTTACTTTATTGAAGATAACATGGATATTCATCTTGTTAGATTCAAGATTTATGATATAATTATATGTCTAGCAGACATTACTACAACACACACTATATTTAAAAATAATAAATATTTTTCCTACTTGACAACGAAAAAAAATTAATGTCAATTCAATATTAAGTAGTATAAAATTAATTGAAATGCTCCAAAAGAGCTAATATTTTACTACCTTGAGGAATAAATTAATGGAAGATGTATTATTTTCTATTAAGTCTCAAAGAAGTTTGTTAAGTTTTAAAAATATTCGTCTGAATAGATATCATATTGAGAGAATGAATGAAAGAGAAACTTAATACCTTTATATTACATCTATTATCTCTAGTAGAAAGTGTGTGTTGAAAAAAAAAATTACTCGCTCTGTTCTCATAATTAAACTATACAATTATTAGAATAATTAAAAGTCATAGTAAATCAGAAGTTTACTAATGATTTTAATGTTTGGCATGACCGCTTAAACCATCCTGAATCAGTAATGATGCAAAAAATGATTGAAAATTTATATGATCATTTATTGAAAAACTAAAAGATTTTTCAATCTAATGAATTTTATATGCCACTTGCTTTGAAGACAAATAAATTATAAGGCTATCACTAGCTAAAGTTGAGATTGACTTCTTTATGTTTTTGAATAATATTCAAGGTTATACATGGATTCATGCATCCACCATGTGAACCATTTAGATATTTTACAGTTTTAATTGATGCATCGACTAGATGGTCACATGCGTGCTTATTATCAGCTTGTAATTTGGCATTTGTAACCATATGTTTGCAAGCACAATTTCCTACTTATATAATCAAGATTATTTATCTTGACAATACTAGTGAATTTACATCTCAAGCTTTTAATATTGCATATTAGTTGGAATAACTATTGAATAGCTTGTTGCTTATATTTATATACAAAATGGTCTAATAGAATTATTTATTAAACACTTTTAACTGATTGTAAGGCCATTACTTATGAAATTCAAACTCTCAATGTCTGCTTGGAGGCATGCCATTTTGGATGCAGTAGCATTTGTATGCATCAGACTAAACGATTTATTATAAATTCTCGTCATACAATTGGTTTATGGTTAGGAACCAAATATTTCCTATATAAGAATTTTTATATGTATGGTATATGTTTCAATTGTTCCACCACAATGCACAAAGATGGGTCGTCAAAAGAGATTATGAATATATGTTGGATACGAATCTCCATTTGTAATTAAATATTTAGAATCATCAATAGGAGATTTATTCATGACAAAGTTTCTCAATTGTCATATTGATGAAATAATTTTTTCAACATTAGGGGGAGAATAATAAGCAACTGCAAAAGAAAATTTCTTAGAATGAATTATCATTATCTAGTTTTGATCCTCGCACAAATCAATATGAACTTGAAGTTCAAAAGTTAATTCTTTTGCAAAATATAGTAAATCAGTTGCTAGACATATTTACTGACTTAAAAGAATAACTAAATCTTATCTACCATTTGCAAATGCTCCTATTAGCATTAATTTCCTTGTATGACAAAGCATGCCAGAAGTGTGAAGACCAAACGGTTCCAAATATGAAATCCTCGAAAAAGAAAAGGAGCAAAATATTCAAGATAGTCAGAAAGAGGAAATACAAACTTTATAAGAGACATTTGATATAATTGATAAAATTTTAGAAGAAATTTAAGTACTTGAAATCATTGAAAGTGAAGGGATCTCAATCAATTATGTCATGACAAGAAAAAATAGAACCTGTAAATAAACATCGACGATTTTTTGTATATGATATAGAGCTTAATATTGTGAAAAAAAAACAAGGATCTTGAACTTTTATTGAAGAATGTAAATATAGAAATGATTGGTCAATATAGAAAGATGCAATTAAGGAGAAATTAATTTATTTGCAAAATGTGAAGGTTTTGGATTTATAGTCCATACACCAAATAGTATTAAACCAATGGAATATAAATGGGTATTTGTGCGAATATGAAATGAGAAAGATGAGATTGTGAGATATAAAGCACTGCTTGTTTTACAAGATTTTTCTCAAAAACTTGGTATTGATTATGAAGAGACATATTCTATATGGTGGATGCAATTACAATTCTATATTAATTAGTCTGACAATATACAAGAAGATTGAAATATATCTAATAAATGTAGCTACAACTTATTTATAAAACTCATTTGATATCGATATCTATATGAAAATTCCTGAAAGATTTAAATTGCCTGAAGCATAAAAATTTAAATTCTCAAAAAATTTATTCAATCAAATTAAATAAATCTTTATATAGATTAAAACAATCTAGACACATGTGGTGTAATCACTTTAGTGCATATTTATTGAAAGAAGGCTATAGAAATAATTCTATATGCTCATGTATTTTATAAAAGGATTTAGATATAAATTTATTATAATTGCTGTTTATGTTAATGACTTGAACATTATTGAAACTCTTGAAAAGTTATTAAAAGCCGTGGATTACTTAAAGAAATAATTTTAGATAACAGACTTTAGAAAAACAAAGTTTTATTTGGGTCTTTAGATTGAACATTTGGCAAATAGAATTTTTGTCCATCAATCTAATTATATTACAAAAAAATGCTAAAACGATTTTATATGAATAAAACATATCTATTGAGTTCACTAATGATTGTAAGGTTACTAAAATGTG